TCACAGGGCTACACTTAGAGACAGACAACCAAGCACACTCACATTCACACCTACGGACAATTTACAATCACCAATTAACCTCAGCATGTTTCTGGACCTTGTGGAAGGAAGCTGGAGAACCTGGAGAGAACCCACGCTGCACGGGGAGAACATGGAGACTCCACGCAGAAAGATCCCGGGTGTCCTCACCGGGACGCCAACCGGCGACCTTCTAGCTGCGAGGCAACGATGTAGCCCCAAATATCATATTGATCATGCTGATTAGGGAAAAATAACTTCAAACTGCACGACTTTCATGTCTGTGATGTAGAGTTATCGACACAAATATGGGTACTCTGGATGTGTTTTCTGATAATTCACCAGAGAAAACTTGAAAAAGTGCATTCTGGGTAAACTTTCATGTGTGATGGTGGTGGGTCAGAACACAATGAGGACGGCACATTTCCCACATTTGGTTGACTTTGTACAGAACGACCCTGTTCATATTTTACTCAACTAAACCTCAGAAAACCGTCGGACGAGTCCAACGCCTGCAGGTATTTAATCTAAAAAGATTGGAAACCACTCGTTGAGCTGATAAACTGCTGCTATAAAATGTCCGTCACAATATCCAAGAGCCTGAAGAGGCATTTTTAATTTGCCAATTATCTCAATTAAAACATATGCACATCCTCACCACTGAAAAACTGCTTTATTATCAATATTTCATTGCTCCTGATCAAGATAACTAAGCCCACATCATTAGCATTATATAGAGAGCTGGATTAAGGTCCTGCAGTCATTCTGTGTTTCTCATTCTTCTTTGCTGGTTGTCGGCTGTTGCTACCAACAACAAACGCACAAAGGAAGCCCTGGCAACTCAATGCGAGTAGGTTGAAAAAACGCCAAATCATTTCACCGCTGACACAGTTAATGCAAGGAGAGAGGCTACTCCAAGTCTTAATCCAGGGCCATAATTCATTTGACATGTCTGCTGAGGCTGTGCATGATAATGTGTGCCGCCGACTGCACAGTGGAGCTATTCATCCACGCTGCAGCCTTGTCATGAAGAGAAGCTTTACAACGTCAACACCGCAATGTGCTACACAACACATCAGTGTTGGCAAAACACACGTCTTCACCCGTTTGGCTGTGAGGTGGACTCGTCAGTGAAAACACCAGGATTACGTACATACAGACCAGAAATAGTCTTTCTCCTGTTCTTATACATTTATTAATAAATCATGGCCACTTGGAACATAAAACAGAATTTTTTCCTCAACATACATATTCTGTGAGCACTTTTCCATTTTGTTC